GTACGAAATATCTCCAATGGGCAACATTATCTCATCTCCTTCCTCACCTCCAAATACTGTGGCACCCAGAGAGATGGTAAATGGGGAAAATGGGAGGAGGGAGAAGGAAAGGAGTGATTCTAAGATCTGCAGAGGAATCCAAGGGATTTGGAGAGCTAGTCCTGATTATGTTAAATGGAAGTTGAACAGCAAGGGTCTCTTAGGTGACTGTGCATCTCAGACACAGCCTTTGTGAGGTTTGTTCCTTCCTTTTTTTTTTTTTTGGCTGAGAAGTGAACAAAGTAGTTATCCCAGAATCAGTCACCAAGCTGAGAATTCACTGATCCTCAATACTCTAAGCTAATGCTTAAATCTCAAGACCTTCCCTTAATGCCCTATTTAAAAACAAACTAAAGGCAGCACAGCATACCCAGGCAGAGCCATAATCCAGGATGGCATTTTTATCTAGCAAGTTATTTTTTATTAGCCTCCTATTTCTTAATAGGGACCCCTCGAGGGTTGGGTTGTAGAGAATTCACTAGTATACCAGTTCAGCTTCCCTACGACTGACTTAATATACATGGCATCTGCCCTCCGATGAACATTATATCACCCATCTGGGCCAGGAGAGCAGGGGGAGTCAGAGCAGGGAAACACTGCTCAAACAGCGTGCTTGCATGATGATTAGGTCTGGTCCAGTGATCCGGAATAATAATCTGAAGGCTCACTAAGCATAATAGGTTGAGAGATATCCAAGCCTGGTCAAACCCTCCCATGAGCATCCTTTATGTGTGTTATCAGTATGTTTTGCATGTCTCATCAGTGTCACGGTAGCTGACATCTCATTATGCAGCCAAGGTGGAAGTGGACAGGTACTGAGTGAGCATTAGAACTTTTCTTTTCCCTTTTATTATTTAATTCATATCTTCCCATTATCCAGTGTATCATGAAACTGTGAACTAATTAAGTCCTGTGGGATATACAATCAGTGTTGGATTTTTTTTTTCCCTTTTTCTTTCCCCTCTTTACTTTCGGTAGGCTAAGTTGCATTATATACTGATATAAATATAATTCTGCAACTCTTCCTTAGATAATAAAGGAGCAAGTTACAAACACTAATGATGTTGAATGCAACAGTGGGGCAGAGGCCTGCTGCTAACTTCACGTGACCTAATTAAGTCATATGGAGTAAAATAGTTCAAATACAAAGTGAGGCAAGGGCCTAAATCTGTTTCTAAAGAAAAAAGCTATTCTCTAGGGGATGGTGGAACACAGAGCAGACACCAGGAAAAGTCAGTGTTGGTGAACTCAAATTTCATGAAGCCTGCCATGCACCTCACAGGTTCCAGCCAGCAGCTTGAAACTCCCAGAAAAAACAGCTGTTTTCTTGAGGATTCTGCCCAAAACTTTTCAAAGGAATTCAACCTAGACAGCAAATTCAAGTGTCTGACCCAAGAGAATAACATGCACAACATGAATAGGACAGACAGTATTTTCAAAAAAATTACCTTCTAATTTTTGATAACTATAGACCAGTTTTCAAGCAGAATTGTGTTGAAATCAGAGGCGGAAGAGCTCTCTTCCCTGCAGAATTAAGCTTAGCCATCTCATGCAGGTCATCCAAAAACTAAGGTATTTAGAGTTAAGCTCTTAATTTTCATTAAAATAGATCTTTATATGTATTTATCAGGAGAAAAAGGGAATTAAATAAATGGGAAAAAATGCACCTATGAAGAGTTTGTATCTAGGTACAACGATCCTGTAGTACTTGGAGTTTCTATATATCTAAGACAATAAGAGAAGTTCAAAGGACAACCACCTCATTAGGTCACTGATAAAGAACATTTGTGGCGTTTGCTAATCTCTTCAGATAATTTTGGTGTCCTTGGTGTACATAAGCACTTGCAATTTAAACAGATGGTGGGGGAACACCACGGGAATGCATATAATATACTTTGGATGTGACCAGAAAAATGGAGGAATGGCAACACATTGTTTGTTATTCAAAACCCAACAAGCATGGCTAAGGTCCGATTCCTGGAAGAGTTGCAATAGCCATTTAATGTAATTTTTTAGTACAGATGACACACAGATCCAGGGTGGATTCACTGTCTGGATGCTGTCCTGCAGAGTCAGGCAAGAGAAAAAATGGACTGTTTCCAGTTCTAGGCTCCCGCTGGTCAAAGAAGGCAGATTAAGCTGATGGGCATGCCTCTGCCACTGGCTATACACCAGGATCCTTATGCATGGGTTTCTCTTCAAGGTTGCTAGGTCGTATCTGTGAGCTAATGGTAAAAGGGTTACTAAAAGCATCACAGAAACACAGACCTGGAAGTGAACGCCATCTCACTGGCGTTTGGTTCTCTGCTGTTGGGGATGTCACGTCACCCAGTCTCTCTTGTACACCCACCATGCTCCTTCCCAGGCATCTCTGGAGCCTTCTGCCTGGCATTCTCCCACCAGGAGATTGCTGCAAAACCTTCTCACATTCACAGTCTACTTTCACCTCATTTCCAAACTACCAAATCCCAACTAATCACATTAATCTCTTCCTTATTATTTTGAGAATTTCAGACAGGTCCTATCTAATGTCTTATAAAGACTGAAGAAAAAATTACTTCAACCTAAAGCTTGTATCCTTTTAGACTCAAGTTCCCAGAATCAACATTTTACTTTTTTTTTAAATTTCATTTTCTGCTCTGAGACTAGGTTGTTCTCTTTTCTTGCCAACGCCCGTTCATTCTGCGCTTTTGATAATGTAAGCCTCTGTCAGCCTTTCTGCAATGCTTCCTTTTACTTCCAATGATATCCTGGAGCTAATCCTGCTCCATCACCATCTAATCATCTCTGCCCCAACCCTCCCACAAAGCCCAGCTCTGCTAAGACGCTGCTGAGTGATCAGCCTGCCCAGGCATTGCTCAGCTGGCAGAAGAGTAAGCAGAAAACAAAACACTGAGCAGTATAGCTATGCTGAGAACAGCTACAGATCAGGCCAATTTTTTATGAAGTGCTTTGAGATCCTTGCATAAGAGTGCAATAGAAGTGCCAGATGTTATTATAAAGAGATGCAGTCCCATTACTTGTACACAGAGTTGTGCTGCCTGCTAATAGCACCATTATCCTAAGGCACGTGGTGCTATTAATGCATCTGACTGCTTGGTGCTGAACCTGGGGACCATTATTTCCACTGGAAAGGTAAGGCCAGTTCACATGACATGATTTAAACCTCTACAGTGAAGCATGCATATGCTGCACCAGGTCGTAAATCTTAACAGGATGCTGTCAGCTAGAAAGGGACCAAAATTGAAACCATTTATCTGAACTCCCCACCCATCCACCTCTGCTCACCCAGACCGGTTTTGGGAAGAGGGATAAAATGATTCCAAATGCCCGCTGGGTTCATTAAGCACCAGCAAATCCCAGATCTAAAAGCACTGCTGGTTTCATCCTGCTCTCCCTGAATGAGTTTATTCATTCAGCACACTTAGGACTTCCTCGATTTTCCCCACTTTGAGCAGAAAAAACATAACGGGGACAAACCTCACTACTTCTTCCTATTCTCGCTCCCATCCGAGTCAAAACACAACCTGTCATCATCTCATTACTGAGGCTACAGGACCTGTGACACAGGCGAGCTATTCAGATCACAGCCAGCAGTAGGTAATAGCTCTTCTACACCGCAGCCCAGGCTTTAGGGCTGTAGGGATGCCCTTATCACATTCGGGAAGGAAAATATGAATAGAAGGAGTAGTTACCATTTTTGGCTTGGTTTTGTCCTTACCTGGGCATGTTTCTGGTAACACAACTAGCAAGGCTGACTAGCAAGTGAACACTAATAGGTAAAAAGCTACATGCGACACTCCTTCACAGAGCATGGACAGGCTTAACGGAATGAAGGAAAGCAATTGTATTTTAGGATACTCAGTTGCAACAGCAACGTACATGTAAGGTAGACTTACAGGGCAAATATTGAGACACTCTTAGCAAAAGTTCTAAAATCTGATGCTAGAAACACGGCAAAATTACTCTGCCAGGACACTGCAGCTACTTCTGGGGTGGGGTGGTGGAATAAAGGAAATGTCATTGCAGATAGCAGAGTTAGAAATTACCACGGTAGCTTTAACATCAATTCAGAGCAAACGAACTTCGGTTTCCTAGGTTTTAACCATACGAAGAAGACCACATGATAATTTGATTTAATAGATAAAAAACAGCATTGGGTTTTTATCATGTCAGGTGTGTAACTCTTCCCACTTGCACTGCCCTGTATGTGGTAAATCTCGATCACTTCTCAGGAGTTGCTCATTTAGGAAAGGATGGTGACAAATGGATATTTGATCTTCACCAAATATGCAACCCCTCTGAATTTGTTCTCACAGGTGGCACAACCCAGTATACAGCTCAACAGTCCCAAAATCTCTGCCACACCGTGATGACTCTGAAAGGATGTTTTAGGTTGGTAATAAACATTTTTAGATACAGACTCTTATAATAATTTTAGTTCAGAGTCATCGTTTTTTATCATGAACTCTTTGCATATGTCTTTCTTCTTGCTATACCCACAGATAGCACTGGGAAGACTGTCCCATTTTACTTCAGATACTGAAGAGGAGCAAAACCCAAATATAACCAGAGCTGCACAAATGCTGGACGCTAAGTCTCTGCCAGAGAGCTGAAACACTACCTCATGGCTAAGATTTCTGCTCAAGTAACAGAAAATAACACTTTTAGAATAGACTTAGAATTTATATAAAAAAGAGTGTTAAAAAGATATATATTACCCAGAAAATAAGGTAAAGCTCGTTTATGTCTCATAAAATACATGATTAACCATAGTTAACCATTAATTCAGCTGCACCGCATTAGAACTGCTATTCAAAGTTGGAAAGCATTTAATATTATATATTGCTGCTGCTCAGCCTAAATTGTTTTTTTTTTCTTTGCCCCCTTTAAATGTACACAATATTACAAATTTAATTTTAAGCTGTTTGAATCAGTCTGTAAAAAAGATTTGATTATACCTGAGTGTTCTGGCCCCAGTTTTTCCATATCTCAGTAATCTTGGCGGTAATTGGCTGATTAGCTCCCTCACACTCCATCTCTGCCTCAGTTTCCATGGTAATGTTACAGGAGCTATTATAGATGAGAACTTCATCTCTTTCCACTTTAGGGCTGAAACGAGAAGGGAGGTTAAATGGGGTGTCATCAATCTTAATGAAATGCAATTATTTTTACTCTTATTAATCATTGCAAGCCATTAGCTTGTGGCAACTCCTGGCCACCATTTGTCAAACTTTGCAAATTTCTGTAATTTTGTTTCCATTCTTTTATTGTTTATTTGTTTTTCCCCCCTTTATCTGCACACAGTCAGGATGAAAATACATGCAGTAAATATCTCTCAGTGATGCCTTTCTGCTTCCCCAAACTATTACAAATAGTAGCAAATGCCATTCTAGGACCAAGGCAGGAAGATAAGTGCAGACAACAGCTACGGAATCAGCAGTGTTAGGATCAAAGATGGACTCCTACATGGAGTAGGGTTTGTTCGTGTCTCCCCCCTCCCTATCTTACTCACACTTAGCAATAGGGAATGAATAACTTGCAACTCCCCTAGGGCAAGTGGAGAAATTGGAAAAACCACACAACTGGCTAACTGGTCCCTAATTCCAACTGTGAAAAAATGAGCTCATTTAGGGGTTCCAATTCCTGCTACCCAGCTGATTGCAATGATGCTTTGTTGCTAGCATTGGAACATTAACTTAGTAAATTAATTAAACTTACTTAACAGCCCAGACTAAGCAGATTCGATATATGTGCCAGTTATACTAACAGACATTTGCTCTAAAACCTCCCCTTGATCAGGGGGAAGAAGTAATAGAAAAGGTGATGGGGAAGAAACATTTTTTTTCCTTGGTCTTGCCGCTGAGAGCTGCCGCCTTTGGTAGCATTTCATTATGGAGAGCTATAGGATCCAGCATCCATCAAAATGAGAGGAAAACTTCCAAATTTACTTCTACAGGCTTTGGATCAGGGCAGAATAATCCAATGTCACTTCTCATTCTTTCCTTGGCCATCGCTCCTTCTTCCTCCTCTCCCCTCCCCACCACCGAATACACACCTGTGACTTGTGGGAAAGGAGAACAGAAAGGGGATGAGTTATAGCGACACTGACATAGCTCAGAAATTATACCACTTTTCTGAAAAGCTGAGAAAGGATAGAGTACGTAATGTGATTTATTCAACAAAGTAGAGGATCAGATAGGTAGGACTAGGATTTCCGGAGGTCTTCAGATTCCTGAAAGCCACATCTAACAGGATTTTCTAAAGTGCCGGAATTAGGAGCCTAAGTTCTACCAAAATCGAACCAATTGGAAACCCAGCTCTCAGAGCTTTGTTGGGAAGATGACGATCAGGATGGTTTGATGAACCTGAAGTTCTCAAACCATGCTGGATGCGACAGCTTACCGTACAAGCAAAGAACTGCTCTGACAGTGTATTCAGGGGATATTTGTTTTGTTGCCCTTTTTGAGGGTTAAGTGTTAAAGGAAGCAGCCACATTAGAAATGGGGAAAGAAAAAAAAAAGCTTCTGCAAGTAGTTGAACCTTTTTAACAGTGAATTTTTATTTCTATATTAAAATGAAGCTTTCCCTCTGCTGTATCGATAATCAAAAGCCAGCCGTAGGAAACTACACTTGCTTTTGATAGCAACACTTTGAGAACTGCTCTTGTCCTGTACAATAATTCAATGGACTGGGCTATCTTTCAAGATCGCATAATACTTCTTTTTAATGCTACAAGAAAAAGCTGCATCTTTTAAATAACTCAACTGTTTTAAAGGCAGAAGGGGGTTGTTGTTGGCTAGATGCAGGGCATGGGCCCAATTTGCTGGGCGCTGAAGTCAATACAAGGACCTTTGAGTGGTTGTTCACATCTTTTTAGAAAAATTTAATGAGCTTTTCTTGTAGGCAAAGAGCCAGTTCTTCCTGTCCTGTAGTAACTGCATCCCAAAACTTTGATACTGGAAAACTATTAACAAATTGCAGCTTTTAAAGGAAATGCAAGAAAAGAATGGGTGACTGATTAAAGGGGATTCAGGGATGTATCTTGGTACCAGTGTTGTTAATGGCAAGACTTGTACTTCTTCTAAGGAATCTGTATTTGCCATTATGTGTCCATAAAATATAGGCTATAGTACAGGCTAGATTAGGAGAAGCTTTATCCAAACCGCTGTAAAACTAGTAAGAAAGAACAGGAGAGATTTAATATACAGTTAAGCCAGGAATGATTTCAATAGTTTTGTCCCCATCCTCAGATGAATGTCTTAACTCTTGAAATTTGCACGGAACTCAAATGCATATTTTTTTTTGTTATTGTTCTTATTAGTTACTATTATTAATTACAGCAATCAATGTGTATTATTTCAGGAATTCCCAAAATAGTTCTTTTCTAGTTTGAACATTTTAATTTTCTAAATCTCTGCTCCAAATTCCATTAATATTTTGAAATAAAACATTTTTCTGAACTGAAATTTGAAGAAAATGCTTGCAAAAGTTCTGAAATAGATAATTTGGATGACTTTAAACTCTCTTCCTCTACTTCTCCTCAGATTTTTCAGATCAGGAAACACTTGAAATCAATCTTTTTTACCCCTGCTCCCCTTCAGCGAGAAACAGTTTAGAAATAGATTCACCAGGAAAAACATCAGCACTCTGAAAAATTCCTCAGCAGCCCAAGTTTTAATTTCTAAATACTAGACAAGCATGAGCGCAGTAGGGGGAAAAGTTAATGACAACAACAAAGAGGTTGAAGAAGTTGGAAGAATAGGAAAATAGTAGGTAAGAAAATGTTGATTGATTCGATTCAGAAATATCTCCCTGTTAGGATTCCCTGAAATAATAAACCCCGTCTCTGGGACATTCACATTTTGTCCAACATTTAGTTGGACAAAAACACAGAGAAAAATAGTAAGGAAGCAGTCAGCAAATGGACTGCATGACTTTTCCCTCCACAGCAGCAGCCCAAACCAAGAAAAGGAGCAAGAAGAAAAATAATCGTAGGAATAGACTCATTGCAGATGCATTTTTTTATCAGTAAAGAACTGAGCACAGTTTTGATATTCAGGGAACAGGAAGCAAAAAAGCAAAGAGACAGATGTTGGGTTGCCCTGTCATTCTCACGTTTATAGGTTACCTGGTTTGAGGTTACACTGATGCGAGTAAAAGGAAAGCAAAGTTCAACTAGACAGGGCAAGGCTCCTCCAGTTTCTTGTTTTGAAACAAGTCATTTTGGGAGCAATAAAACTGATGAAATTCAGTTTAATTAGGATTATTTTTCCCCCTGTAAGACTCCCTACTCTTGTCTCCCCCAACGAAACTGTCCTCCCTACCTCCTGGGATGTTGCAGGATATTATCAATGCACAAGGTGACTCTGGACATGTCAAATTGGCCAACTGTACGTGTCTCCTATCTGGTCTGCAGTTTGCTGGCAAATAACAGATCAGGGCAGAATTCTGCCTTCCTCTCCCTCAATAGGAAAATAATTTCTTTCTTCCTAATGCAGATTTTCTCAAAACTGACAAGAATTTCTGAATTCTTAAGATGTCCACCCCTTATGAAACCCAGGTCAAATTTAAAAAGCTGGTGTGGAGGAAACAACAGACTGACAAGCAGGTGTACCTGTGGAAACCATTTTTTTTTGGTGATTTTTTTTTTTTAAACAAGTTAAATGATGCAACTCGTGTCTTGCTGTCTTTGTTCAGTAAATGCCAGTTGTTTTTTTTTTTCCCTAAACACAGACCATCCAGAACTCCCTCTGGTGACACAATGCCAGCTGTGTCATAAGGACCAGATAAAGATGAGGACCAAATCTCTGTAATTCCATGGAAATCCGTGGACCACACCATCATGCCCCAGCCACAAATGGATTCAACATATATAGCAAATTATGGGCAATGCATTGCAGTCATATTCTAATTCTCTGTTTGTTTAGTGGTTTTTGGTAAGTTCTGTTCATCTGTTTATTCCTTAATTCAGATCTCCCTCTTACTCCTAGAAGTAACTGCTCTGCAGGTACAAATTCCCACAGCTCCATTAAAGGCAGTGGTACCAATTTATACTCCTGGGAAACGGCCTTGGATATGCAAAGCCTGAGCCTTGAGTAAGTGCCTGAGCAGCCTTGCTGAGTAAATACTGCACAGCCTGCTGAATTTTCTCTGTGACTTTTTACTCATGAAACTGCTTGGAGAGAGGAAGGG